ACTTAATCCTATCGATCCTTCTTTCATCACTCGTTTCTTGTTTTACCTGATTAATCATCAGAGCTTCAAACGCTGCTGTTATATTATCAATATCCGCATTCACTGAGAGCTTCTCTTCACCCATCGTTAGAGCTCTTCTTTCATAATTGAATTCCCTATCCTTCTGAAAGCTTTCTATTTGAAGGGCACAATCCTTGGCCTTTGCGTAATTACTCGGACAAAAGGCTTCGATTTTCGATCAATATGCCTCTCGTAAACCGTTCAAAAACCAATCCCGTTTCTTATAATTCCTTACTGTATTGTTCAACGAATCCACATACGCTTCAAATCTACTTGCATATTCCCGAACCATCTTTTTCTCTTCTTGTTTGATATTTCTCAACCGGTTTATTTTTATTCGGTCGTCATTTTTAGCGTTTACTATTTTTACTATAGCATCTTTCAAATCTGACCACTATGTCTTTGTCCTTATTAGTTCTTGAACCCACGGCTTTGTTTCATCTAGCATGTGCATAACGACCATCCCACACTTTGTCTCCTCATCCCAGCTCTTTGACTTGGTATATCTCTCATAATCAAACAGAAACCTATCAATATCATCTTTGTCTTCACCATGAAAGAACGGTTTTGTCAGATCTTTTGACATTGGTGACACTAGGACTACTACGGATAAACAACCAAGCGAGAATAGTCTGTCTAAGTTATTTAGAGAAGCAGGTGTGTGTATATTACTTATCGTTCATTTGTTTTTTTTTTTTTTTTTTTTTTTTTTTAATAAAGTCAGGTTTCAAATAGAGTTATTATGCTAGGACTGACTACCACAAGTCTTTCACTTGTCTGAAATTCTACGTTTTTTTCCCTTTACCAATTTAACAGAACTTCCAATATACTTAGTGAGATTACTGATTAGAATGCTCAGGTTCTCATGTCGCAGATTAATAGAACTCTTTTGTTACTAACAACCTAGCTCAAAGGTAGGCACTTTTCCAACTGACGACCACCTCAACACCTTATTACTTGGTCTTGGGGTAAGTATTTTATTTAACTATACTTCGACGATTTATTTTTATAGATAATAATTACTAACTACTTTTATTTCGCTTTTGCTTTTTAAATACAAATTGACTATCGCTAATTACATCATGTGTGGGTCACGCCATTTTGACTTTTTAATTTTGTATTACTAATCACGCCATTTTCTATGACCTTTATTACGACATTATTCATGTACTGCACATTGGTCTTCACATCACTTATTTAATTTATGCATCGCATATCTATTTATTACCCTTGATCTGTTACCGATTTTGGTCGATCATCATATGGGCACGTGACTACGTAACCACGTGACGTTTGATTGATTCGACCCTTCGAACTACGCTAAGCTAAGTAACCTTTTTTTTTTTTTTTTTTTTTTTACTACTAGGATTGACCATCTATTATTCTAAAGCTCTAAATCGACCCCACACACCAAGTATGCCAGGTACTGTGTTTCTCCGTAACACTAGCTTTCAAATTAATCCCAATCCTATGGCTATTATTTCATACTCGCAATACTACTATACCTGCATCTTTTGCAGAACTAAAAACCTTCTCTGTGTATCCACAATCCAGAGCGAGCATACACCTGACTACACTACAGCTGGCCTTTTTAAAAATTGCTTAATACATAGAGCATATATAGCACATGTTTCAAATATGAAACTCAAACCTCTTGCACAAACAGCCCCACTTAACTTCACTCAAAAAATGGTTATATTTCTCATTAAAGCAAAACAGGAAGCACCTCTTACTTCTCACCAAGCAATCATTATCTCTTTAATTAAACTTTATAACTTTCTGTTAAGAAAAGAGGCCAAATTCTGGCTTCATTATTTCCTAAACAACAACAGCAACAACAACAACAACAACAACAACAACAGTTG